CGTTTTTTTCGTATATTGTACGTGCTCGAGAGATTTTTCGCTTCACCAAAGTGCTGTCATGGTGAACTTGAAACTAAACTGAACATCTATCTGCGCGTACGTGCGTTTCTTTCCTCATTTCCCTAGATTTTTTTCACTGTTACTCCTCTACTACTGTGTGTATTACACATCCTGTGAATATAGGAATATTCGTGGTAGAATCGTTCCTCGAAACTGTCAGTACCAATGACATTATGTCTTTTATCGTACATTGTGTCTCTCGTCGATTTCTTTTGATTTTGTTTTTTGTTGTTAGTTATTAGTTCTTCGAGAACGAGGGTCGGTATTTTTGTATATATATTTCCATATATATTGCCTGCGTTCTGTCATCATCTTTAGTTATCGCATTTCAATCTGCCTTTCGATATATATGTGATCGGGCTGATCACATGTATATTCGGGTTCTGATTGGCCTACGTCAGTAAGTCAGTATAGAAAGGGTATCTCTCTGTTTCGTAAGATTTCGTAAAAAAAAAATGTGGGGATTTGTATACTGACTCGTTTCTCGGGACGTACTCCTTGTACACGCAGCTTCGAATATATTTCACGAAATTAATCTCGCTGTTTACGAGTGGCGTCTTTCAAAGAAGGCGGACGTGTGTCGATTCTCTTGAACGGTTCGTGTTATATTTACGTTTCTTTCATTTCTAAAGATAGTATTGTCCGTGTTCGTTAAGATGCACAGATGCGTCCGATAATTCAGAGAAATATGCGTCGGCGTGCATACGAACGAGGCTCGTCGTGCTGTCTCTCTGAAACACCGTGCAAGTTCCGTTTTGTTCGATATGTAATGTCGGATATTAATCGACAGTAAATCACACGTGGTGCTCACCGACCGCTGGTAATCAATTACAGTTTGTGAATAAAAATCTAAATATCTATATAGGTTAAGAATGAAAATTTATAGTTTGAGAATAAAAATCCAAGTCTATGTGCACGTGTAGTTGTGTACTCGCAGAAGTATTCAAATACTTACAGATACTTTTTATAAAAAAAAAAAGCGAAATCAGAGAGGCTGGACAGATTTAGAAATACTCGATGCAGTTTCTCGATGTGCCTCGCGCGTATGCGTAGTGCAACGACGTTCACGTAAGAGCGGCAGGGTCATTTTTATCTTTGCTATCCTCGAGGTGTAATGCAAGTAACAAGCTGATCGGTATCAACACGTGTGGCCCGTAATATATAGCTGTGCTAATACTTGAACTCTAGTGAACTTGTGACAGTGGTTCTCCTATTTATCGATCTTTATCTGCGTTGCAGTTGAATCCGAATATAAAAGAACTTGATCAGAATCAAAGTTCAACGAGAGAGTTGGTCTATTAAATGAATAAAAAGGAAGATGTTATCAAACGCGTGTAAATATATACAACTAATATACTGTGTACAATATATTACATATAGGGTAGGCCAAAAATAAATCCGTAATTTTTTTTATTGCATATTTAAAAAAATCTTTTTTTACAAATTAAACTTCACATTTGAACTCAAAGTTAATTTAAAAAATTAATGAAATTAGTTTTTTCTTCTATTTTGATGTTCAAAAAAAGAAAAAAAGAGATAGGTGGAAAGAAACTTTTGGCCCACCTTGTATATACATAAATAGACATACTTATATAGCGATGAAGTTAATCATCGTATTTTTATATTGAAATTTATTACTTGATCTAATTAATAATTAATTCTGGATGAACCTGCAAATTAACCATTCCTTCGTCGATTTCTATGATCTTTAAATACATTTCATTTTGAATAATCTCCTCCAGTGAACATGTCGGTCACTCGATTTTGTTAAACGTTTCTTACTTTATTGTTATTATTTGTTACTTCACCGGATTGTTATTATTTACATTTATTTGTTTACATTGAATCGAATTTCGAAACGGCGTCGGTCCCTGCGGACCGACACCTTTGAATATTCGTAAAAAAACTATAATTTACATAACCGTAAAAGATACACGTTCCGGCTCCGTCTCGAACGTGTTAAATTGAAAAAAGAAAAAAAAAACAAAAACGTGAGAGCGAAAGAAAGAGTGAGAAAATTGTCCTAAGATAGTTGCATAACCTCTTCGAGAAGCGCCCCTATTTCTCCGATGTTGTAGAATTTATCGCTCGTACGAACAGAGCCACGAATTTTTCCCTCGTCCGGGATGAGAAATGTCGAGAGCTGTGAGGCAAGAGTTCATACGGAGAGAAGAGAGAGAGATAGAGAGAGAGAAGATGCACGCCTACGTAGAGGCGGCTCTCACCAAATAAGATTCGATCGTGCATCGAAACGACCATCGGCAACGGCTACGAACATACCATAAACAAAGAGGCCCCTTTACGGCCACGCGGTCGCTCGGCTCTCCCTATCTCTCCTCCTCTCTCTATGTCTAGTAGTCCTCGTCATCTTGGCATTTAACTTCCGAGATTTTCCTCTTTAACGTCGATTGTCTCTCTGCACTTTGATATCACAAACGCTGTGGTGGTACTCGTATTCATTCGATCGGCACGAGACAATTATATTCATATACAGTGTGTACATTTTGTATAAGTGACGATGGTTTTAGCACATTTCGTGAAGTTAGACGCCACAGTTACGTGACTTTTGCTTCTTAATATCACGATTGTTTCGACATGAATCTCACCTTGTTCAATATCGTCACGCGTCCTGACATT